ATCACCCATAGGTGAGAAAGTCCATTTTAAGCCTGTGTAAAAGCCAACGCACAGATTAAATATTTGCTGTTCTGATGATGGTCACGTAGGGCAGGAGGCCTCAGAGCAGTGATACGTACTCATTACACACCACATATCTGCTCATACACATACACGCCTGTAGGTATGGCACATATACACACATTCACACACACACTAGCATTTTTTCCCTATTCAGAGAAGCTTTTGACAGTGTGTGGGATTGGAACAGTCTATTAAAGAAACTAAACCTGATGACGCACCATCTTGAAGATATTTCAATTAAGGCCAATTAGGATATAAGTTGAGGCCAGAAGTTTGACAGCTCCCTGCAAAATGCAGCAGGCTCTTATTTTCCATCAATCCTGGATCCAGACAGCCATAGCATGAGCAACACAGGCTGGTCCGAAAGGCCGTACAGCAGGCCGAGGCTGGTGTCCTTCTTTCAAAAGGGGTTGGAAGTGGCAGAATAAACAGGAGTTAGCTCATTTGCTAGCACGCAGAGCTGGCACGCAGTGAACTGCCCTGCAGAAACCTCCAGCCTCTCGCTCCCCGCCTCAGCAGAGGGGCGACACGACTGCAAACGGGCCAGTGTTGTGGAAGGAGCAGAGCACGTGGGAGCAAAGCGGCTCCAAGCAGCACGCGAGGCAAAGGTCAGTGAGGCAGAGCTCAGCAGTGAGTAAGTTACCGCATGCGAGGCAGAGATAAAAGATTACAGAAGTGAGAGTGCAGCCTGCCACCCCAGCTACGCCTTGCAGCTCTCCCAGATTACGGGTCAGCAGGTATAACAGTAACAATTTCTTTCAAAACAGTTTGCTTCTTCATTTGTAAGAGTTCCCTTAACTTTGTCAGGCATTTATCAGTTTTCTCCAGTAAGCTTTTTTCTATTCTAGCTTCACATTTCACTGTTCCCAACAGGTGAGTCACTAGACATTTCCACCTAACCATAACAAGTAGGTTCATTATCTCATTTTTACTCTGTTATTTTTAGGAATTATATAAAGCAAGCTTAATATCTTCTCATGACAGAAAAGCTTAAAATGACCAGCCCATTGGTGGTTTGGTGAAAACAAGTAAAAAGGATATAACAGCAGTGACACTGTATCAAGTAAAAACTAAAGTTAAGCAGTACTGAACTATCCTTCTGTCACTATTCAGTGAAAACATGCTCCTTATGTGCGTGCTGTAGCAACCATTTCTTCTCCGTTTCTGAAGCAGTATTTCACAGATACACCAAAAATATATGGGATTATGAGTAATCCCACCTGACAATTAGGATAGGCCAAATCCCAGGCGACCGGGGCTGAATCCTTACAGTAGCTGGAACTCACACAGAGCTGCTATCACAAAGTGCCCTAAGGAGCTCCACCCGCTAGGTCAAACGAGACAGTGACCAAAGGCAAAAGTTCAACAAAATGCTTGACTGAGTTAAGTGGCCCACACTCAGTATTTTTACTATCTGATACTTACCTACTCACAGATAGCGTGAAAAAGCCCCTATCACTTGCTAAATACATACTAAGGGTACGTGCATGCATGCTTTTCTCAGCGAGTAACAGTGCACGTCACATACTGGAGGGAACTGCAGTATTTGTTCCACATTTTACCACATGCAACAGTTTACTGGTGCAAATGATCCTTAAAATGCTATTTGGAAAACTGGACACCAAAAGGCCTCTTTGAAAAGTTCTTCAAAGCAATGGATTAAGGACGTCATGCACACAAAAATTTTTCTTTTTGGCTAGTTATTACTTACTTCAAAGTGGAAATTCTAAAGTTTCAACAGCACCATCACTTAACATCACTTTATCACCTATCATACCTTTATCTGTGCCAGACTTGTACATTGGACCAATTATTTTGCTACTTTAGCAAATATATGTATACATTTAAGTAGTTAAATCTTCAAAATTCATCATTTTATGTTGTGGCAAATGAAGACTTAGCAGCATGCTGAGCCAAAAGAAGAAGAAGAAAAAACAACAACTACCTGCCAACACTTTCTTCCAACTTTCCTCTTCTAATTAAGTTTCACTGACTTTCTTCTAACATCCTGAACCAAATTTGTTTTGGAAGGCATCTTTTCACAGATCTTTTTTCGAAATGCAAGAAGCAGTTTTTAAGGAAACCTGAAACTCTTCAGCTGGGTAGTCCAAATAAGCACGGTTTTAATTCCGCCAAAGACTGTGGCCTGCAGTAATACATGCAGCAACTCCGCTATTTATGAGGCAGCATTTCCTATGTCAGAGTCTGATCCAGAGACAGAAACCAGAAAGCAACCTGTGGTGGCATCCAAGCAATCAGCAAGGCAGGAACTGTAGTTGGGAAAGAAAGATGTTGCTAATTGTATTTTTCTCCCTCAGGACAGCTGAAAACCTACAGACCACCAAAACAACTATTTCTCATTTATCTCTAAATAGCTCTTTCCAAAAGATTTTTGACAACCAATTTTTATTTCCATGCAAACTTATACATTTGCACAGGCTCAACCTAAGACAGAAATTTTAAGACAAGATCCATCCCTCTGGTGTGCTCAGCATATGAGCAACAGAAAAACAAGAAGCCCACCTCAAATGGGAGATCTGCTGATGCACATGCACAGGAAGTCAGGCTACAGATTAATGCTTTACTGTTTTTCTTTTTTCTTTTAAAATTAACAAGCTCCCAAGAGAGCCAATTAACCTAGAATTAGAGACAGAATTAAACACCATGTTTTGTGAAGTGACTTTCTCCTTTATGCCCCAAGATGTGGAACCCTTTCTGCTTTCTTCAGTTCTGGTAACAACTTTGCATCCACCACGTCCATTAACTTCTGTTCAGGTGGCTACTTTAAGGCAGTTTTAGTGCCCCAGAGGCTTCACATCAATCTTCAGCGCCTGCAGCTGATTTCCCTAGGGCATGTTATTAATGGACAGTGAGACAGAGATGCTGCAAGTTTTCAGGTTTTGCAACTA